ACCTCTGCGCTGGTGACCACCCCCACACCTGGCTTTGCTCTGCTGAAGCTGGTTTCCACCTGGCAGTGGGTCAGGGAGATGAAGCTAGATACATAGCTCCACTGTATGACTCCACGATGGCCCTGCCTGCCCGTCAACATGGAGCCTATCCAGTCCTACTTTTAGATGCAGACTAGAAACAAGCAGAGGTAAAGCCCCTTCATTTTTAGCTATTCCTCATTTATTTCATTTCATTATATTTTTCCTAATGGAAAGGGGAGACTTGATGGGTGAGATTTATTTGAGAAAGTGCAAAATTGAGCATAGCAAATGTAGAAACCCAAAAAGCCCATTCCTTTGCATAGCCAGCTCCTTGCTGGACAGTGTAGCTAAGAGCAACAGCTCATGGTCACTTCTGTTCACCATGGCATCCCTGCACCAGCACAGTGCCTAGAAGGGCAGGAGGGATGCGCTCTATAAATACTTGTGGCATAAATGCATAAATCAATGGCAGTTATTTGGATTTCAATATAAATGAATCCTAGACCTGAGATATTGCCAGATGGGCAGACAGGTTACAGTCTGGTGATGCATCTCCAAGGCTATAAAAATATAGCCATTTCTGGAGTCACAGGCTGACATTTCGGAAGATGATTATATGCACAATTTAACCACATGGCCGTTCTTGCCCTCCAAGTACCAGCGATTCAACAACTGTTTTCATGTTGGTTTTCTTGCTCATTCCTTTCTTTTTTTTAAAGTCAAGCACAATTTTTCCCCCCAGCTTCTCATATTTCTAGCAGAATGTGATTTATTCATATGAAATTATGCTCCATTTTTATAAAACCCAAGTTACTGCAAATGATGCTTGAGGTTTCACAGAAAATATTAATTCCTGATTTGCTGCTATAAAGCATCCCTGCTTGCTCTGCAGCAGCTCTGTCATTCTGAGACAGATGGAGGCAGTCCAAGGGTATGATTAACTTCTTAGTCCTGGCAATTTCCTAGTGCTCCTCTTGCCCTAGATTTCAAGATTGACCTCCAGTTTCTCTGCAAATGCACAGTTGCTCAGCTTGATAAATCACACAAATCCTCTTTTTGATCACAGTTATCTACTATTTACTACTTATGAAGGGAAGTTAATCGTATTCAGAGGCACTTCATATGCTGCACACATATCCTTCCTCCTTCCTAAGGGCACTTTGCATATTTTCCACATTACCAGTGATGTGGCGGCTTTCACAGTGCACTGCTTCTACACCAAAGACAGACCCCCATCAATGAACGTCACGCCTATTTATCCCTGTTCTCTCCTGCCTCACTTGAACCCATCCAAAACAATAATCCATAAGAGGCAAAGCATCTGAAAGGCATGTTACAGGGAGTGAATAAGTAAGGACGATAGTGGTTAGTGCTCTTTTATGAATAGAGGTTTTCTTATAGTTGGCTTGTTTACCTCATTGAGATTTTTTCCCCCTTGTCCTGCCTTGTTTTCTTGCCCTTTTTTTTTTTAAAAAAAAAGATTTACTTATTTATTTATACAAGCACTAGGTAACAGTCAGAAGAGTGGGAGGGTGAGAGAATTCCCCAGAGGCAGAGTGGGGAGCAGAACAGACAGACTGACGAAATAAACTGCTGAGAGGAGCAGCGGGTGAGGCAGGAGAGGTCTGTTCGCTATGTGGGACCCTCACCAGCCAGCCGGGGATCAAACCAATGCTGGGCCAGCTTCACAGCCCAGCGCTCAACTGCTGCGCCACCGGGGAGGCCCCTTGTTTTCTTGTTTTTTTAAAAATAATATTATCTGAAGCAACAGTGGGTCTTCTGGCTGGTCAGATGATCCTCAAATGGCATAAAACAGATGAAAATTCTACATAAAAGAAGAACACCAGCAAAAACCCACCATCTCACCCTTGCAACAATTGTTCCTGTCACTGCAGGGTGACACACATTTAGTAGGGCTGAAGCCTGAATCTGCCTAGACACTGGAATCCAGTTTTGACTTGCAGTGCACTTTGTTTATTGTGGCTGAACCATTGCTCAGACAAAACCAAAAAAAAAAAAAAAAAAAGCAAAGGGTTTTCTGTGGCTGTGACCACAGATGTTTTTTAAATTTAGGTATTGAGGATATCATGGTCTATTCTATTAAGGTTGTATATTAATTGCTAAAGACTCACTGTACTGAAGCATACAGTCTTAACCTAGAAAAGAAAGGTAAATATCACTCCTTTTCTTTATAACTAGTTCTATCAGGTCAGTCTCAAAGCCCTGAAGGCAGGCTTTCTTATGGGGAAACAGAAGAATATTAGTTTTCCACAGTGTAAAGTCAATTCCCCCAACAACCCCAAGACAGCCAAATCCTATTTCCTCATCAAGTTTTACATCTTGGAACAAAATGGCTCTATTCCTGTATCAAATACCCTGCAAATACCCTGGTGTTCACTGGGTACTTTAGTCATAAGGCTGCATAGAAGTGGAATGGGCCCATGGATGAGTGAACTAGCAGGACACTGAGACAAGGAGCCTGTGGTTGTTTGGCGTGAGCTCACAGAGGCTTTCTGCCCAATTTCAGAATTACAGAACTCAGACAGCACCCTGAAAGTCTGAAAAGCGCTTTTTTCCCCCCTCTAGGACAAAAATGAAAGTGCTGCCTAGTCAATATGGAATTTTATATCAAGAGGTGATAACAGGTGGGAAACAAAAGAAGGAAAAAGAAGAGTTTGTGTATAACAGATTAATACTGTGGGGGGGGTAGATCTCTACCTTAGAAAGGTCATAACCTGGGGGTGGGGGTGGGGGCTGGTTTACTTAGTTCCGTTCTCAGCCTAAGGTGGTTCCTCTGATAGGCAGAATATGAGGTAATTCATGCAGTGGTCTAAACTCAAATCACACTGATCCTTCTCTAAAAAATGCTGGTTTATTGCATGTACCAAGTTATGTGATAGAAATGACATCACATGATAAGTTAGCATTTTCTAATTTAAGTAAATTTAAGTAAATTAATGCAATTAATTCAGCAGGTATTTTAAATTCTTATTTTGAAAAAAAATTAAATCATATCTCCAAATAATTGTTTCTTATCATATCTCCAAATAGATGTTTCTTACTTATGGAAATTATAACGCGTGGCCCCCAAAACAGTTCAGAGAAGGTAACTTTACATAACTCCATTGTTAGAATAACAAGTCAACTCATCATCTGGAAATGAACACAGTTCCCCCAATTTTGAACAGAAAACCTGTTAGATTTAAGAAATACTATCCTATACTTAAAGATACAGAAATTCATAATAAGCATAATGACAATGAGAACCTCTGTTACTATTTCAAAGGAATGGACTTTTTTCCCTCATAGTATTCTGCATTTAGCAGCTATAAAATCAACAGGGGCTAAGAGGCTAACTTACCTGTCAACTGTTTTAGAAGAGAGACTATCAAAAACAAAGTCAAAGGGAATAGCATCCATTACTTATTATTAAAATCTACATACATTTTCTACCCTAGCCAGATTCATGTATTTTTTAGGGAAGAAGTCTTAGAACATCTCAGTCCTGGTTTCTGATGACTTTATTTGTAACCAGGACTTTCAAGGAGTCCACATTTTCCTAAAATAGGTTTTGCTTCTTTCTATCAAAGGTCATAATGACATTTTGTGTCAGTACATGTACCTTCATCGAAATAAAATTTATATACCATAAAGTTCATCTATTTAAAGTAATCGGGGTTGTGAAACCATCACCATAATTTTATTTTACATTTCATCATCCCTAAAAGAAACCTTGTAACTGTTGGAAATAATATAACATTCTAAACTTCTCAATGAAGTTTGTGGAAAGAATTGCTTGCTTGAGAAATGGAGGGAAGAAAAAGGAAATATAGATAGGAAAGGAATTTTAAATATGTTTCGATCCAGGGTCTCTCCTCCTTCTACCAACAGAGTCTGGAGTAGTATAGTTATTAGTTTTTGTGATAATCCCAGAAACATTTTCAGAAGACCACATGGCAGAGACGCTAGAGCACACAGGCTTCTGTAGTTGTCATGGGGAAGGCATTTTAATTGGAAAAAAAAAAAACTAAAAAACTCAGGCTCAGTCTGCCACCACGGAGAAAATGCTTTTCACCGAGGAGCTCAGATAATTCACAAAGTGACATGTTTCACCTCTGAGAAGTACTGAACAGAGCTGGTTTATACAATGATTGCTCATTCCACACAAAAAGAAATGGAAAGGAAGGGAGGGTAGTGAAGGTTGGCCAGACAACACTCAGATGCTTGCCAGTCAGCTGAGGAAGCACCTCCTCCAGCTGTTTCTAAAAATGTAAGACCCTCATTTGTGTAGAGATGCAGAGGCTTCATCTTTACCTCCTTACAATTCTTTAAAACACACAGACACCACCCCCTGCCCCAAACAGTAAGGAAAAATCAAAACCTTTCTATTCTGGAAAGTAACTTTACATATCCCTGTTCAACTATCTTCATATAGTCTTCAGCCAAATCAGGAAATGAAATACAGTTTTGCTGTGCTTATTGATTAGGTTTATCTCATTCAGTAACAAAAACAGAGAGAACAAAACAAAGTGTAGAAAGACAGGCATCAGGATCATGAACTGGGGTGCGTGCATAAAGTATTAGAATCTCATCAAAACACAAATAGTGCCTGGTGAAATCATATGGAAAAGTTTGAAGAAAACATCTCAAAATAAGTGAAGTACTTATTGCTGAAAAATGAGCTTAGATCTCAACCAATTTCAAAGTTCAGAATTTACTATGCCATTCAGCCCTTTCAAGTTTGTCTCTTGTTTCATTGCACAACAAGGGATTCTTCATACTTTTTATGAAATACAACAAGGCGATTTTTGCAGCAATAAACTTCACACATGCATGACAAATCCAAGCATGCAAAATGTTTAACATCCCAGTTCACAGATACTTTAGGGACAGAATCCGATTATGAATTATATGCCACAATAAATAGGGCTCAATGTTTCATAAAGCAATTTATAGTTCATAAAAATGACAAAATGTACCTGTCAGACAGAGCGTGGAGAGCAGTTCTCTGGGCTGCCTGTTGGAAGAAAGGGCAGAGATGTTTATTTAATATTCTGACTTTTAAATTATGTGCTCAATCAACACTTAAAAAAAAAATCTGTGCCATACACATTTTTTTTTTCTGGCCAAATATTGAACTCCTAGCAACCCAGAGAGCACTATCATGTTGGAAACATTCCTGAAGAATGAACTGAAGCACCTGTGGTGCCCACCTGCTGTCAGGAGCTGAGCCTGGGGAAGCAGGCAGCAGGACAAGTAAGTTGGACAGGAACCTCCAAAAGGATTGGAGCTACTTCATTTTTACTCACTTTTCAGTGATTTTCACTTTTTATAGGCTGATTTCTTTCTGGTTGATCTATTAGCATAGTATTATCTTTCAATGTATTAAAACAATCATTAAAATCACCATGAGCATAAATGTATGGTTATCATTAATGTAATAATTATAAAAAACACACCAATAACTTATTTCTACCTGTTTCTACCAATAACTTGTTTATCCATACATAAACTGTATGGGCAATCTATAAAAAAAATTAAAAAACCAAACTAACTAAAAATAAGAAACTCAACTTTCAGACCATGACTGGAATACCTACAAATTGATGTATCCTGGGTTGGTGGTACCTGTTGAGAATAACTCAACAGTGATGGACGTGATGCTGGGACCAAAAGTTCTTCTGGTCTTAGAGACCTGACACCCCCCCAGTCACTAAGCAATGTCTTTCTGTTTCCTCACTCTTCAGTCCATCCACATGGTGTGTGTTCAAAACACACTCAACACAGAGGTACTTAGCACCATCAATTCCTGCACCACTATTTTTAATGCTGGTTTTGAATGGCTATTTAATTTGTATTTACTCTATATCACCAAAAACTTTACAGAGGAGGACTCATCCATCAAGAAAGCAGATGAGAATATGTTAAATGTTTTAAACAATTTTTTGAGGAGAGAAATCTATTGGCATTAGATTAAAACTGTATGTCACAGGCCAGAGCAGAGACCACTGAAATTTTTTTACCGCCTGCTTGCTTTAAAAAAAACTTTGGCTTTTGCACACTATTTTATTTTACTGTTGGAAACTAATAAAATAAATAAACTTTGGAATTAAATAGAAGAAAAAAATTACTTAGGTGACTCATGATTGAAGTCTGAAAAACTACTCATAGTAAACTAGATGAATTGCCCAATTTTCTTCTTGCAGAAGTTGCATGTTACAGTAACCATATTTTTCTCTTCCTAAATTGCCTCCTCTTGTAGCTTTCCCCTTATTTAGTTCTCAGCAAAAATAGGTTGAGGGGGTTAAGAGAATGCTTCATTGATCTTTCCTGAGTTCATTACTCATTCACGAATGATTCTGAAGCATAAGTTTATGATACATAACAAGTTTTCTTTCAGAATAATCATTTTCCAGCTTCCCCTCAAGAGATGACATCTTTTCTCTGTCTTTATTATAGAAAGCTTGGTGCTTGGGAACATAATCAGTAGACATTCAGGTTTCAATATATTCTAAATGAATTATCAGTCACTATCTGTTATTGAAAGGAAATCAAAGAGGAAATTAAGTGCCCTTATTGTAATTGGGTCATGCATAGAACAAGTTCATGGATATTGGAGTGGGGAGGAGAACAAAGGGAAGAGGCTGAAATTCAGAATGGTCTCAGGATGATCCAATTTATTTCTTACTTGATATAAACAGTACTAACCATTGGATGTTTCTGTAATTCAATCTGAGGTACTTATTATGTGCAGCTATTGAGCTTGACTTGGGTGACAGTCAAAATAGACAAAGTCCTAGATGTGAGCCATACATGAAAAGTCAAATACATACAAGAATTCTAGATGACAAGGCCCATGACTGAAGAGGATAGGGGCTGTGAAATAGAATGTGACAGGGACCTCATGGAATGTACAGTCATGGGAGGCTCACTAAGTAAGGGATAATGCAGCTCATGTCTGAAGGACAAAGAAGAGTTATAGAATCAGAGAGGGGACAGGTGAGGAAAGAAAGGCTTCATGCAGGGAAATCAGCTGGGAGCTAAGGCCAGAGGCAGGTTCAGTTGAAAAACTGCAAGGTCAATATGAGTGGTGGGAGCATTGACAGATCCCAGGATTTTGGAAGCCAATTTAAGAATTTTTATTATTGGGCATCTCTGGTGGCGCAGGCGGTTGAGCGCCTCACTGTGAAGCTGTCCACAGCCTCTGCAGCGTGGGTTTGATTCCGGCCTGCTGGTGAGAATTCCACATGGCGAAGCAGACCTCTCCTGTCTCATCCGCTGCTCCCCTCAGCAGTGTATTTCTTCTGTCTGCCTGTTCTGTTCCCTGCTCTGTCTTTGGTGAATCTTCTCACCCTCCCGCATTTCTGGCCTATACCCCGGTTCTTGTATAAAAAGAAATAAATCTTTAAAAAAAAACAGACTTTATTTTATTAACCACAGGACAATAAGAAGTAACTGTAGGGCTTTTATTAGGGAGAGGTGGGGGAAAGATATGTGGGACCTGACTACATATTCTTTATACCTTCCGATGAATCTATAATTAGATAAATAGAACAGATAGAGAGTGAGGCAATATGACTTACATTTTTCAAGTACCATGCTGACTTCTAAGTGGTGATAAAATTTGGGTAGGGAGGAATAATATTTGACATTATTGCAGCCATCCAGGTAAGAGAAGTATATGGTGGCAGGAGTGATGAAGAATGTTTGTGTTACATTTTGGAGGTGAATTTGAAGGAATTAGTGATTGACTGGATGTGGCAGGTCATGGGAGGTGCTGGGAACGAATTGCAGGGTTCCTACTTGAACAGCTGGTATGGATGGAAAGCCACTGATTGGGTGGGCAAGACAGGCATAGGAGCAGGGACAAAGGTGGAGATTTATTTGGGTTGTGAAGTTCAAGATGCTTCTGGGATGCTGAGTAGAGATGCTGAGTAGATAGCTGGGTATGTGAGGTTGAAGCTGTTAATTGCCAATTAAATACAAAAATATCATGTCTTTAGCAAATAATAGTTATAAAAAGGAGATATATGGTTAATTTTTGGATATACATTTTGCTATTATAAGTAGAACTTAGAATGCAAATGGTTAGAATGCATTTTTTTTCCTCTATTCCACATGCAAGTAAACGCTATCTTTACTATTACCAGTATCAGGTTTTCCATGCTGACAGGGGAGATATCTCTGCAGCAGTGATTTTAATCACTGCTTCACCAGTATTAGGGACATTATATCTACATTCAACTACTTGACTAAATGCTATGGCAGCTAATCTTAATTCATTTGTGTTTTACTGTTACTGAAGCATGCTGTGAAATTTCGATGGGATCAGATAACTTTATGGGAATTCTGCCTAGTAAAGTCTTACTTTTTTCCCCTTATCATTCTTCTTCAAGTTGAAACTTGTATTTATTAATTTGTTTCACTGCTTAATTTCCTTATATATCTATTAACATATTTTATGTTTCATTAACTTAACTTTTATGCTGTTATTTTCAATTTAGTCATAGTTGATGAGTCTCTAACTTTTTATGTTCTGAGCTTCCATTTGGCATTTTTTTTCAATCCACTTAGTAATATTTGCAAGACAAAGAAAATAATCTTACTCTCCTTTATCCTCTGTGATAATGAGTACTTTGCATTTTCAGATTCCTAGGAATGCTGTCTAGGAAGTATTTTGTTGAGTGGACTTTGACCTTATCCTGTTCTCTAAGGGGTCAAGAAGAGTCAGGGATGACAATATAATTTATCATCCACATAAGAACATTTTTGAGAGTGAAAGGGGATGCTAACCAGATGGGAGTGAGGGACTACAAGAGAAAACACTGCTTTTCTGGGTGAACTGGACTGTCTGGTTGCTGCACAAATATAAATAAGATCAGGGTGAGAAGATAGAATTTCAGGAGCTGAGGAACTTGTCAATAGTGAAAGCAAACAGCACAAATCATCCTGATTCCTGTGTCTCTAAGTCAAATCAATACTAACATCATTCTCCTTTTCTCTTTCCAGTTACTTCTTCATTTATAATTTGAGCTTATCCTTTTTGTAAGCCTGCATTGAACTTTTAAGCTTTTGTTGATTGTCCACTCTCTGAACACCTAGTCTAGAACTCTAGAATAGAACACTGGGTTCTATTCTTTCTTGAGGAATTTACCATCTGCCTTAAGAAATTTTAGTCCTGGCTTCTCAAGTTCATTGAAGATACTGAAGACAGAGATCCTAGCTCATCCTCCTACTATCAGAAAGAACATCCTGATGACTGGGAACACAAAGTGTGATTCATAGGTAGGATGTGAGTAGGTGACTTCTGGGAATGACAAATACTACTATTTGCTAAGGCCCCAATCTAAGAAGTTTGTTGAAATACATTTTCCCTTCTTAGCTATTTATTCTTACTCTAATTTTACTTTCTTTAAAAAACTAGGGTACAATTTCATTTGTGAAGAAAGTTTAGGTACTTTTTATTTATTCATACTGGATTCCTTAGATTTGTTATACCTATCAGAAATTTGATTAAGATAATAACAAACATTTATTGATCACCTGCTATATCCTACAAAAAATGATGATCATGGTCAACTTTACCAACGAAGTGTGCTTGGATAATGTTATCTTACAATTTGGATCGTGTTAGTAAAAAACTGATTTGTGTGAAGGCTTATTTGAGATCAAATTGTCAGTGACAGTCCAGATTTGGCAATCCAGATCTTCTGAAAGGAACTGAGAGGCACTTGTTTTCATTGAGCATTTCCAGGACATTAAAGACAAACCATGAGTAATTTGTGACTTCTGCCATATGGCTCCCTCTGATTCAGGCCCTGGAGGCTTTTGCCATTACAAGTGTGCACATTCTGGGGCCGCTGCTATGAATTAGGAAGAAGAGAAAGACATGGCGAAATGTGAGCACCTGCTAGGGGGCTGTCCCCTGCCCACAGTGACTGACATAAGACCTAGTGCTAGAGGGGTTAAGGGTCCACTGGGGACATAGAAAACAGAAGACTCCTTAGACTGTGGGCA